CACAGCCGCACGCAGCAGTGGAGGAGTGAAAACATACTCACCCAACAGCTCGCCGGCGGCGACGCCGCAACTGACGTCATCATCACTAGACTACTGCTACTACTACTCACGTCTCGTTCTCATACGGTCAATGTCTGTTCGGAGTGGCTCCATATGTGGGCGGCGTCTCTGACAAACACAATGATGGATGGTCAGAAGGCAAGCAAGATTATCCTTGTGTTGCCATTGTGGAGGTCAGGATATGGAGATTCAGGGAGCACAGATACACGTACATAAAGAGTGGGATCTGAGGGAATATATATATATGTGATAATGGATTACTGTTCTCCAAGGGTCCCCAACTCTGATGACCTCCAACGGCTGCGAAGAGTTGATGGATCTTGAATGGGAAAGGAAGTCCGCGAAGGCTCGCCCACTCTCCGCTCCACCCTGGCTTGACTGAGTTCGCTCGGTCACGCTTGGCATTCCTCGCCACATTGCACCAGAGGAAATAGCCAACCTCCGGTGGCAGGACACAGCCACCACGACCCCGGACTCTCCGCTCACCCAGAGTAGAGGGCATCCATACCATGATTGATTACCTTTAGCGAGGAGGATGACATGGCCTCGGTCAAAGAGATTGTCATAATTTTGAAGCCCTCTATATATTATTCTATATATATTTAGGAGGATTCAGCTTCTGTTCCCACTCGTCCCACACCACTGCTACGTAGTCTGTAGTCTATAGATATATGTATAGCTTAGGGAAACAAGGCAACTTAATACCCGCCGGGGCTACCTCCGGCCTGGTACTACACTGCAAATCGGTCTTTCTGCCAGCGGGTACCCTATTACTGCCATGTATGGATGGCACGGCGGTGTGGCCCTTCGCCCACAACGCCGAAATTGGAGGCTCCACCTAGACGAGCTCGTCGTGCTCTTGTTGTTTATGTGGTTCGTTCGTACGAACGCCACCCATGCAAAAGAAACGTCCCCATTCTTGTTTTTCTTGCAAGATAGTCTACTACTGTACTGCTGTGTTCGGGGAGGGCGTCGATGTGCCTCCCACCAACGACATGCACGTCCATGCATGCACACGGACCATGTTCCGCTGAGAAATTTCATGCGCATGCTCATCATCATATCGATCAACAACACTACCTCCCTGAAATTCAATCGTGCTGGAAAAAATGACACAAGACGAGAGGATGTTGGTATTTGTGTCCGCTTGTTTGTATCTATTTGCCTATCTGGCCATCTGGCCTAGAATAAGGTACTATTAGTATATATATATATATCAGATAAGATAGATAGACCTGGCATGCTCGCAACATGTAATTGCGGTCGGGGGGAGCGCCCGACGTACGTGCGTTCGTGCAGGGAACAATTTGGGTTTTTCGACCGCGTTCTTTTCCGAGACGGGATGTTGGCCCGAGAGACCGCACCGTCCGTCTGCGCGTGTCCCACCAGCCGGCGAGTCAATGTGGTTGTATGCATCAAGTAGATACGGCGGGTAGAAGAAATACAGAAGAAGAACGAGGTTATGCATGTATATACTCCACCAAGCCAAGTGGTAAAAAACGTCATGCCCAGCTTCTCCACATGCATTAGGAGAGCGTCGTGGGTGTGGTTGGGATGTGGTCCCTCGACAGCAAGCAGTCCGCCACCAAGTCGCCAACATAAAGAGTACACTTACTTGTACCTTTCGAAGCGCTCGTCTCGGTGTTATTAATAAACGTCTACTGCTGTTCAAACGGGCAAAGGACGACTGCCAAAGAGTCAGAACAAAGTCGTCTTTACCAATCTCCCACCGCCTCCGTTTGTTCATGCATTCACTACCACATGCATGTAGGACAGACGGAACCCATTGCCGACGCCCTACCGACACACAACAGTTTCAACAAGACAGGCAGGACCCCACCACCGCCACCTTTCCTACCCGATCCAAATATACATGTACCATGATTAAAATTGCGTACTACAGAGAATCCTCCCCCACCCACCCCGCCCTCGCACGCGAAGACGACGACAGTACATTAGCGTAACCCCCGGCCTCATCACACATGATGACATCCAACATAAAACAGGAGAGACAGTTTCAACACGCAACCGAGTTACGAGCAATCCTGTCGTGGACGAGAAGGGGCAGAGGCTTGCGTGCCTTCCCTATCTTACGTAGAAACGTATAGTTGCAAGTTCCAGCAAGACGATCTGTTTGTTTCTGTTGCTCCCCCCCCCCTTCGCCCCCAACCCCATCACCCCATTTTCGTTCTGTTGACGCTCGGCTTTTGTTCTACATGTAGACTACCTCGCGAAAACTCCAAGCTCCTAAAAAAACTAAATATTCAGCCACGCAAGCGTTGGCCATCATCAACAGATGAGACGAACAGAAAATGCAAGAAAAACTGTTCCAAGCGGGCGGAGAATGGAATGGAAAAGTCGGGGAGAGTGCGGGTAGATTGGAGTAGGGAAAAAAAAGACACAACCGCCGCACAGCAGACAAAATAACCTTGATGGAAAATACAGAGCCAACATCATACGCACCGCATAACTATTTCGTGCTTCGCATTAAACAACCTTTACTACAACACCGATACGATATATTGGCGTACCTGAACAAGGAACAACAGCAGTATGATACCCCAGACAACACACCTTAAAAGAGTAACCGAAAACAAAAGCAGGAACATCCCTCATCAGCCCGTCCAAGGTTGTCTAAAACTTGACTTTTGCCCCTGCTCCCCCCCCCCCCCCCCCCCCCCCCCCCCCCCCCCCCCCCCCCCCCCCCCNCCCCCCCCCCCCCCGCTACGAACCCCGATGGAACCCTCAACCCTGGAATAACACTTGCATTATGCCCACAAAACCAGATACACATAAAATGGGACACAAATGCAGCACTGCTCTCCATGACCTCTCTTCGCCCGCGAACAGAACGGGCTCGATTTTCAGCCGGGAATACAACGAGAGGTTCGTTGCATTGAAGAGTGGGGGCAGCAGTGCAGGCGTAGAAGACAAGGGGAAAAACCCCGAGCCGTGTGGCAACCAACTACTACTGTTAGAGCACTGCTTCCGCTCGTGTGTCTGGAGCGCGAAAAGAGTGGGGGATGCAGAGGCTTAAGGCTTAAAACAACAACGCACACCTGACCCGGGTTCCTCCCCCCCCCCCCCCCCCCCCCCCCCCCCCCCCCCCCCCCCCCNCCCCCATCCTTCTTACGTCACCCCCCTCGCCGGTTAGGCAAATCCAACCGTGACACAAGAAACGAGAAAAAAAAAAAAAACGAAACGGGAGATCCCTCTCGGACCTTTGTCGTAAGAAAATGCATTTCTTCGCCCCACTATCGCGCGCACCACCTCTCTATTGCTTCCTCTTTTCTCTCTCGGGACAGACATGCACAACATCATTGTTCACCGAAAATATGCGTTGTATCGACAGGGAAAATAAAATAAAAGCGGGCCGCCGAAAGTGGTGTGAACTCATGTAGACATACATGCGTGCGACCGGCGGTGGAGGATTCTTGATACTCTCAATTCTAACACGCAAAAACAGCAAAACATCGACAGAGACCGTCGGCCACTCAACCAGCGCATCTCGTGGTCTCCCCTCTCTAGCGTCCCCGTTAGGAAAAAGCCGCGTAGAGTCGCGCTAGTCGGGTGTGTGTGTGCCGTACAAGCAATTCTTCGCCGCACCCTTCCCATCACTCCCCAGGACCATCGGCCCCAGGGTTACAGCACACACCGTACCACACACAAAAGAGAGTGTTGGCAATCCGACCGCGGGCGAAAAGTACGTAAGACGCGGGAGGAGCGGACGCCGGAAAGGCAATTGAAGCGAATCCCATGGATGACACCGTTGTTGCGTTTTACCCATTAACGAGCAGAGAGTCGTCGTCTGTTTTCGCTCGTCGGGTGGTCCCCACAAGCGGCTAACCTCACAGACATGTCGTTCACGCTCTTCTTTCTCCCCTCTTCTTCCCGAAATCGATCCATCCCTTCACAACAAACAACCACGGTACATGAACCACCTAAATTCCCTTCCGCCAACCGTAAATCGCACGCACGCCTCACACAGACACGGAATGGGACACTGAAGGCGCTCCACAAGCAGCAGCAGCAGCAGGCACCGCTGTGTCGTTCCTCCAAGCGTTCCCCACTCGAAGACAAAGGAGTTGTTCGTCGACCAACT